ACCTATGAGAAACAGGAGGGGAGGAAAACCGATTAATAAACAAATTTGACGATTTTAACCAACAAAAAAGACAATATGACCATCGATTAAAGAAAAAGAGGCTTACAAATTCATGCAAAACCGAGGAGAGAATAAAAACGTTTATTTTTTTTGAATTATTTATTTTTTTTAAAAGGGGAACAACAAAGGTGATTGTCCAAAGAAAAAAAAATTTTATGGGAGAGTGAAATTATCGAGGCTTTTATGGGCTAATTTTAGAGTAAGAAATAGATTTTTTTGTGTATTAAAGAGTTTAGACCGGAATTTTATTTTATTTTTTTTTTTTCTGTTTAAAAAGTTGTTCCAAGAAAAAAAGGATATTGTTGTAAAATAAAAAATTTCAAAGAGGAAAGAGATGTAAAAGAGGGTCAATTTATATACTAAATTTTTTTTTATTTTTTTTTTTTTTTTTTTTTTTTTTTTTTATTATTATTATTTATTTTGTTTGAATATTGTCTTTTGATCTTTACAATAGGATATACAATATATATACAATATATATATATATATTTGGATCAATTGGTGAGAAAAATGTATAGTGTATTACGCAAAGTAAAGTAAGACTTTTATTTATTAATTAGAAAACGTGTGTTGTAATGAAACAAGATAAATAAAGATATGTAGATAAAAAAAAAAAAAAAAAAAATTAAATTAAAATTTTTTTTTTATACCAGATAAAATAAAAAAAAAGTATTTTTTTTTTTTTTTGGAATAGAAAGAATCTTTATTGTTGGTTTATCGTCCATATCAGGATTTTTGGTCAGCATTATATAATTTTTTTGTATTTATCATTATTATTATTATTATTTAATTCCTAGATACTATCTAACATATAGTATAATACTACGCCCAAGAACAGGAAAAAAAGAGATTTGTTTCGGGCTTATCACAAATAATCTTTGCAATTTTGGGTTTAGAATGTTGAGACATCACGCATCCTGAACCACAAGAAAAAAAAAAAAAATGATGTCGTCTTTTTTTAATTCATACATTTTTTTTTTTTTTGATGAAGTAATGAAAAAAAAAAAAAAAGGAGCGTTTTTCCTCCCAAACCAAAAAGATTTTTGTTTTTTTTTTACTTCTCTTTTTGTTATTTCAAAAAGGGAGAATTCGGAAAAACCAACAAACATCTGTTACGGAGAATTATCGTGACTCTTTCAAAACGGTGTTTTTTTTGATTGGGAATAACGTATATTAAGCTGAAAGGAAGTTACCCAAATGTAATACCATTGTCAACTCAATCAGTGTCCGAAATGACCCGATATAACAATTTATGACTAATCCTTCCTAAAACGTCCGAGATATAGAGATTCCGCAGCAAATGTAAACGGTATTAGGAATATAAAGCATCTCTTTTTTTTGTCTTCAAAAAAAGATTGGAGGAGTTGTGGTGGCAAAATAACCGAGTCAAATGGTCAATTCCCGTGAAATTATTGGCCGGTCATGTTTTTCATTGTATCACACCAACGTACCATTTAAAAGTCATTTTATCCTTCGCAGCAAAAAAAATTTAAATTCAAAGGCCGAAAGCGCTTCGATTATGCACTTTATCAATTCGTAGATCAATGATAAGTTCACAACCTTTCGAAAAAAAAAACGATTGAACGAAATAAGAAAAAAGAGCACGACTCTTTATCGGATATATCATGATAAAATACATACGGTATATCACTACCCCGCAGAAATTATCTCTTTATTTGGGGTATTAAATGGGTAAATAACTAACTAAACCGAATTGTAATCGAATTTTGAGAAAGTGGGAAATGAATTTGGTTAGAAAAACAGGTAATTATTTGTGACACGGATCCACAACATGACTTGCCATAACCGAGAGTGGTATTTTTGGAACACATTCGGTTATAGAATCAATATGCATAAATAAAAAAAAAGATTTCAATTTCCCATTGTAAAAGACAAAATTGAAAATAATTTTCAAATAAAACAGAGAACAATAGCGACCAAAATTTGTCATTTCCTTTCACGTTCACGTGATAATACATCTTTTAACAATCGTTATAGTCGTATTTTTTTTTTTTTAAAAAGTTTCATTTTACAAAGAACCCTGATTGTTAATCAGCCATATAAATTATATATAAATATTTGGGACGATTTCAAAGCTATTCTCGCGCTAAAACGCAGATAGTTTATCACATGTAAATCGAGCAATCAACTAACGTATCGAATTTCATTCCCCGAGTAATTCAAGATTAGCTACTCGTTTTTGATTACAAGTAATTTGGGAAAAAAAAAGATCAAAAAAGAGAAAAAAGGGAGTGCAATCTGAAAATCTCTTAAATACCCGATAACTTGGAATGATAACTTATCATCATTTTTGATTGGTTGACGAAAAGGATAGTTCTTATCAACATACGGTAACTAGAATAACAAGTCCAAAAAAATCCTGTAAATACGTCGATCGGAAAAAGCATTCCCAACCATCTGCGGCACAGCAAAATGATCGTCATTCCTTCGTCTTTGTCATCATAACTTAACCGACGCAAGGATCGTTCGATCCATAACCAAAAGATCATGTCATATAAATATTTACATTTCACATGAAGCCGTCGATTCTATGAAATTTGTTCGTTACCGAGTAAGAATCATGGCATACATTCTTGTGTCGCAAAAGAAATGAATGTGCGGCATTGTCTCAAAATATGGTGCGAGATATATTTACCTGAAACACGTTAGCGTCAAGGATTGTTGTTTTTCTTTTGTGAGCATGTTTTACAAAAAACGTAAGCAACCACGGTACTTGACTTTGTAAAAAACCACACTAAGTTACGGTATCCATATTCTGGACCCTTAATAAGTTTCTTATTGTTGATGAATGTGTGAATCAAGTGTGAGAATAAATGCGCGGGTTTACCTTTTGAAAAAAAAAGATCCCACCAGTTCTCGAGTATTTTATTTAAGGATCCATTGTTCCTTCTGTGGATTGTATTTTCCATCCTAAAATTGTTGATTATTATATTGCTTTATCACCTATATTAGTATACACTAGTATTAGACCTTGGCAAAAAGCTAAAAAATAAAAATAAAAATAAAAAATAGATCGAAATAGCTAGATGGAACAAACAAACAAACAGATTATATTTTAAAGGAAAAAAAAAAAAAGACTTGTAAACCAAATTTATTTGGCTACATTTGGCTAAATTGGGAAACGACATCCTTACATGCAATTGGGTGACACGGTAGTAAAAAAGTTTTAATGCCAATGCCCGATGCTAGTCCTATTATTGCTTAATTTTCATTCCTTGAAAAAACTACAATTTTTAATTTATTGTCATTTTGTCACCTACTTGTTATAGTTGGGTTGATTATACGGATGTGTTACGTAATCACGTAAAGCGATTTATTAAATTATACACGTGGGATTTTTCAAGGAAAGATTTCAATCAAAAAAAAAAAATTTGTTATTGACGCGTTCTCCATTTGGTTTAGTAAAGGTTATTAGAAGACTTATTTTTGTTTATCTTTTTTTTTTATTATTATTTTTCGTTGTTTCAAACTTTGCATTTTTTTTTTTTTTTTTGGAAAAAAAAAAAGACGTTTATGAAAGATTTGAAATGGTATAGGCTGAAAAAAATTTTTTCTTGTCGTGAGAAAATTGTAAAATTTCACAACGAATATCAAAGGAAGTGCGATCCCCACATAAATTGATTTTGCATAAACTCTGCATAACCGGAAAAAACGCCTTATCAAACTTATCAAAGGGAATTTCTTGAATTTATTGTTTTTTATCATGCTAATCAGTAAATAAGACATTGAACAAGGATTTTTTTTTTTTTTCAAAACAAAAAATTGTAGATTTCATTCGATAAGACATTTTTTTTTGATTCAAACCTTTTCTTTTTGACTAAAAGGAAAAAAAAAAAAAACTCTCACACACAAATAAAAACAAAGTTTTATGTCACCCTTTCTCCTATTTATGTTCCTTTCTACTTTCCTTTCACATCTTTTTGTACGATTTGTAAAAATTATTTAATTTATTCAAACAAACCTTATTAAATTAGATGTTCAATTATAAGCATAAAGATAAGAATAAGAATATATAAGTAACGTTTCTAAAAAAAAAAAATAAATAAAATCATAAAAAGGTAAATTATTATTTATTTCTTTTATAAGAACCTGCATCGACAATCGATAAAGATAATGCTTGTTTTCATTGAATATAACTGCTCAAAGACATTTTTTTCCCCAAAGTGATAAAGATAAACCATAATTGTATTCAATGAAACATATAAACAGCTAAATTTTCTTTTTTTGTATTCCCGTTCCCTACATTTCTGCGCCACCCCCAGATTTTTGCTTTCGGGTATTTGTGAAAGGGAAAAAATTCTTTTATTAATGTAATAAAAAAAAAAGAAAATAAGTGATGGCGGGAATTTTTTTTTTTTTTTTATGAATTCATTAATTAGTAAGTACACCTCACTTTCTTTTTTTTAATAATATAAATGGAAAACATTTCATTCATTCATTTTGAGTCAAATATGATTCTTTATTGGGTAATTTGGCTTGATAATTTTGCGATACAATTTGCGTCGCACAAGAGAAAAGCGAATAAAAAAAAACCAAAATGATTCACTCCGAGACAACCGCTATTCTATTGATCTTTTTGTTCAGCTCATTCACAAGTTTCGTTCTGATTACGCGTATGTTTTCCATTTTCGGAAACAATTATAAACGTTTTTTTTTTGAGGGGAATGAATGGTGTCATATATTCAACATTTTCTTTGTTACATTTTTTTCAACTAACGGATTATAATTAAAAACAATTTTAAACGGGAAAAGTTATCTAACCCTTACGGAATGAATTCGCTATCAAACCCATCATCTCTCTGCACAATCAATTTTGTTCGTGTAACTTCGTATGTCGCACAAATCATGGACGTACAAATGATGTTCCCGTTTGATACACTGTAATCAAAACTCAAAAAGCCTTTTTTTTAATCATAATAATGCCTCCGAGATTTGGAGATCAAGCGACAACCGAGGTTCCTGAAGCAGATCAAATCCCATTTTCTCTTGAAAGACCATACCCAGTCACTAACCTAAAACCCGTTAAAGTCCCTTTACCTTATTATGTTGATCGTGGAAAAATGATTCTTCGACCAGAGACCAGACGCTTTTGGAAATTTGCTAGTTGGTATGCAATAGCTTCTTGTGCAATTATTTGTAAAGTTTTTTTAAAGTTCTGTACTTCGTCAACTACTGTTTATAATAAAGAACCATTTTTAAAAGTTTTGATGGATCCTAATAGAACTCGTCCAATTTTAACTGGTAAATGAAAGTTTCTTTTTTAAAAACTTTAAATGAAATGAAAATGAAAAGAAATTGAAAAAAAAAAAATGAATTTCAATTCTTCTTTACCTTTATAAATAGTTGCAAATCATCTATCAACGTTTGTATTCCAAGATTAAATACATATACACACATATATAATCTATTATATAGATCTTTTGTTAATTGATTTGTCGTTCTAATTAGAGTTGACGATCCGTTACTTTGGGGAAGTTTGCCATTTAGGGCCATCTTAAACCTTCAAAGGATACGTTGGACACTTGGCGCTCAAGAGATATGTTTTAAAACCCCGTATGTTGAAAAAAATTCCCTTTTACTTCATTCAACTACATAAGGTTTGCTGACCTGTTTTTGCGTGTATTAGTACTCGTTCGCTATTTTTTGCTCTAGGCCAAGTTATTCCAACTGTTCGAGGTGCTGGAATTTATCAACCCGCAATGAATTTCGCAATAGAGAAATTGAATGAAGGCAAATGGGTAAGCATAAATTATTACTATTAATAATAATATTTTTTTTTTTGAAAAAAAAAAAAAAAAAAAAAAATAAATTTAGATTAACATAGACAAAAAAAAAAAATTTCTTTCTTGATGTCTTTACCTTCTTAGGTTCATATGTTCCCCGAAGGAAAAGTAAATCAAACTGTAGATATGTTGCGATTCAAATGGGGAATTGGTCGTCTAATGATGGAATCAACGAATTTACCCATCATGGTTCCTTTATGGCATAAGGGTTGGTAAACTTAAATAATTTCTTATCAAATAATTTTTTTTTTTTAAAAAAAAATAATTTTGCTCGTTTTTTAAAAGGTTTCGAAGAAATCATGCCAGAAAATAGAAATCATCCACGGTTTCCGATATTGGGTAAAAAAATTGTAATCGCTTATGGAAATCCTATAGATTTTAAAGATCTCCTGATTGATTATCATGAAGGGAAAGCTAATGAAGTGTTGACTCGAATAAGTATTACAGATACAATCTTCCGTGCAATGGATGAATTACAGAAAAATGTTGAAGTTAGAAAATTAAATGACTAAAATTTGCATTTGTACGAAGAACATTTAGATTATTATCATGTAATTTTTTTCGTTGTAGAAAAAATAATTCTTATTATTATTATTTTTTTTTTATTCATCTTAAAACAATCATTTGACATTGATACATCATTATCGTGCCATTAATGTTATTATCTAAATAACGGGCTTCATCATCAAAACTTCACAATAAAATCTGGAAATATAAATAATATTACCCAATCACTTTCATCACATTAGAAGAGAATCAGTATAAATAAATCTTTCAAAATTTCAAATAAAGAAATTTGAACTTCCTGAATAAATTAAATCTTCATTCTTTTTCTAAATGACAAAAGGAGATTATTCTCAAATTCCAATAAGGAACTCAAAAGAAAACCCCCTTTGTATTTAGAAAAAACAATTAAGATCAGGAAAATAACATCATGTTCCCTTCTAAGAAAAAACACAAAGAATCTCATTCCAATATTCATTGATTCTTTATAAAGAATATTTTTAGAATATTTATCATCACGCAATTTTATTTTCATCAAAGAAAATAAAATCATCAAACTAAGATCAAGTTGTGTATAGTTTTGAAAAAAAAAAAAAGATCGTAATTGGAGGTGGTTTATATTTGGTTGGATGTAACACAATTGTTTGAAAAAGTCGGAAATAATTCCCTCCGAAGATTTCGTAACCCAAAATAGGAAAGGAATGAATGATTCGCTAAATGGGATGGTTTAATCCTCTTTTTTTTATCAATTATTATCTTAAAACAGATTTTCGTATCATTAAAAATAAATTTTGTTGTTATCTTCATATTTTTATAAAATTATGTGATTATAATATTATATATATATAAAGTAATTTATATAAATCTATATCTTATTTTTTTTTTGTTTCGACATAAATGCAGATTCTATTTATATTAAACCCGGAAGCAAATTTTGGGGCAAACTTGACAGATAATAGAAAATTCACAGAATTTACAATGCGTTGCTGAAATTCAATCGTCTATACTTGTAATTTCTGCAGAGCTTTGAGTTTAACCTCCCTTTCTTTCAACACAAGATCACGTTCTTTCAAATCAAGAGCTCTTTCCTATTATCAAATTGAATTAATTTATTAATATAAATTTAAGAATTTAAGACGTTAATAAATAGATAAAAGTATATACACTAAATCATCAAGCTCTGTGGATGTTTTCACCCTTTTGGACGTTTGTTGCTTCTGCTTGATTTGTTCATCTGAACTCTTGTTTTTACACTTTTTTGGCGGCTTGTATATTTTTTTTAGCTTCGGAAGATCTTTCCAAGGTATATTAATCAATTTCTCCTCCAAAAAAGATAGACCTTAACAAACCAACACAAAAAACCTTGTACGGTAAGTAGATAGTAGAGTTATCAGAGATTCTGATTCGGCTAAAACTTACATTGTACGGTAGGAAGATAACAGAAGACTCTATTGACTTCAACAATGTGCGTGCCCGCATAGCATCTCTTTCAGATGTGTTATTAATTTAATATATTATAAAATTCTTATTAATATTTTTATCATATGGGACCTTTTAATAGGAAGGGGGGAAACTGCCGGAAAAAATCATTAGGTCAAAATATGTTCAGATTTAGCATTAACTTATTTTTTATTTTTTTCCAGCCGTTTCCCCTTTTTCTATTGCAAAGGTCCCATATACTTCAAAATTTTGTTTAACATAGCTTCCGAAGTCTGGAATCGACCATTTTTCCGACGGCTTATTGAAGTAGTCTTCGTAATTTTTTTACAAGTCGTAAAAAAAAAAAAATTAATAATAATATAATAAATGGAATATGAATTAAAAATTTAGTTTGGGTTGGATTGGAGATATGATAAAAATATAAAAATTTAGTTGGGTGTGTTTTAGAGTTTGAGAGTAAAAAAAAATTGAAGAAAAGTTAGAAAAAAAAAAGGTGGAGGTATATATATAAGATTTTGACGCGTCACGCTGTACAAAAAAGTTTATTATTTTATTGATTAAAATGGTTGACGCGTCAAGTTGTGCAAAACCGTTAATTATTTATTATTAACACATATGATACCTTTTTTATTTGGATTCTGAAATACTTACGGGTCGCAGCTCTATTTGTGAAATTTTGAAAGTGAAGTATTGAAGTTTGCTTATTGTAAGTTTTCAATTTTATCTCGATCCTTTAATTTTAGTTTTATTACGGCTAAATACATTGTCAAATAATATAAATAATGAATAATGGGATAAGCTAATTTAATAATAAAAATATTATAAAGGATATAAACTTGAGAAGAAATATGATCACATTTTGTGAAATTGCTGTAAATGAGGCGCGCTAAAGTTCGGATAGCATATTTGTCTAGTACAAAAACCGAATACCTAATCCGGTTGGAATCGAAAAATCGGGATAAAAGAAATCAGGTTGAAACGGATGTCATAAATCTGGTTTCAAATTTTTTGTCGATTTTGAGGTTTCGATCCTTATATTTAAATCTAATGGAACCGAAGGAACCGGATAAATAAATATTATTATTATTTTTTTTTTTTTGTGAATCAAATGATTAAGCAATGTCAATGTAATTAATCTATTTGTTTGAAATGCACATAGTACGTATTAGATCAAGGGCCTTTTAATTGCATCACTAGTTAATTCGGGGTTGACGACCGCAATCTTTAAACCAAGAAATTAATAGGTTGGTGAGTTGCTGTTCTCTTTATTCACATAGATTTTATAATCATACGATTAGATAAAACAAAATCAAAAAAGAAGAAAAAAGAAAATTACAATTAAAATTTAATAAATATCGTTAACTCCGTTACGTTGTCACAAGAGCCTTAGATTTTGATCATCATGTGAAGCTGCATCATCTAAGAAGAAAATTTTTATTAATAGCTTGAAGGTTGATTTTTAATATAGGTGCATAAATTACCTACAAAAAAGATAGCGAGATCCAAAAAGATACTATATCTAAATTTCGCTACTACCTTTCTTTAATTTGCCCTTGAAATTCGTGAAATATGTTAATGAGCCAATTCAAAAAAATGCATTAAATACATTTGTGTTGAAATATACTTACTTTTGACTATCTAGAGAAGAAACAAATATTTCAAACTGAATGTAAACCCATTAAGGATGAAATAGCAATAAATAAATTATCCAATTTTCAATCAAATTCTCAATATCTGCAATGTGAAAAACTTCATCACCCTATTTATGGTTTGATTTATTACACGCATTAATTACTCTACAGAGACGTCTCTAATTTTGATGATTAATGTGAAAATGAACTAGGTTGCTCAATATCATTGAAATACATGTATTATTAGTTAGATTAACTTTTGAGTAATGATATTATAGCAGAATCCTTGAATTAAACTCACATTTAGACGTTTCTCTTTTCTGTATAGCTATAAATACAAGAAATAATTTGAAAATTATGACAATAATATCAACAGTGTTGAAATTTTACCAATGTTTTTGAAAAAAGAACTAAAGTTTTTTCAAGTAGGTATTAGAAAGGGCATAATTAATATAAATATATAATTTAAAAAAAATTCACAATAATATTTAAATGAAAAATTGTTCTAATAAAAAATATTAATTAATCTTATATTTTATACTATAACTGTAACCTACATTTAATAAGTAAAGATAGAATAATTTCATTATCTAAGACAGTATTTTTAAAAAATTAGAAATTATTACTCTAAGTCTTGTATTTATTTGCATTAAAATATGTTGCAATAAGTACAGTTCCCGGCGAAAAGAATGGCGGAAAGTTTTTTTTGAATAATAAAAGTTTTTAATAAATAACTTTCAAAATTTTTTTTATTATCAA